ATAATATTATATAATATAATAATTGGTTAATAATGCAGAATCATGGAAAAATATTGAAAGCAAATGAATTTTTCAATTTTGTGAAATATATCATATTTAAGTTAATAAAAATTATTAACAATTATAAAAATTAGTAACACTTTTTAAGTTTATTTTTTTTAAGTTTCGATAAATATTTTTCGCTCTATCTATCATTTTTATTTTATGAATAATTTTCTTTGAATTTATAAATATTGTTATATTTAGATTTTTACTTAAAAAAAATTATTAACATCTAAAATTTAGAATATTTATTTATTTTACGAGATTTTTTTCCTTGCTAAACAAATTTTAAAACTAAATACAAATCGTCATTTCCGTCTAATGAAGTTAATATTTGAAGAAGAAAAACATTTTTTTTTTTTAAGTCTAAAGAATAATGACGGCAAATTTCATGAAATAATCTCACAACATTAAATAATCTCGCCCCTCTTGACAATCTGAAATCTAATACAAACAAACGACATTTCAAGTCTCTTAATGAAAGCAGTTCCACATTTTCTCGCTTGCTGCGTCTCCCGCGACATTATGTGAACAATAAAATCATATCCTTGTGAGTGTGTGTGTGTGTGACGAAGTAATGTCTCGCTGAAAATTAACACGAAAAATGAACGTGCCAGAGACCGGTCTCTTGGATTAGATTCATTGTTATTCCCAAGTAACCCGGCGGTAAGGAGCTTGGAAGATTAACGACCTGCAGAAACGGGACCTTCTATATATCTATCTATATATATATAGTGCCACCAAAAGGCAGGAAGGGCGAAAAAAAAAAAAATAAATAAGACGAGGGAAAAAAAATCGAGTAAAACGACCAGAATGAGAAGCGGAGTTGGATATCGCAATTAAACAGCCGCGGTCTACAAATTGGTGGTTGAATTTTTTAGACTGGCCGCGCCAGGGGTGAAAACCAGCATCGCGGCACTACGTGCCAAGGGGTGCCCGCGGGACGGAAAAAAAAATCCATAGGGGTTGTGCTTTCTCTCTTTTTTTTCTCTCTCTCTCACATTCGCTTTCTTTCTCTCTTCGCTTGAAAAAAAAGAGGGGCTGAACTACCACGGGATAAGGGATGCTTGGCTGAGGGGGTGGGGGGAGAGTTGGAGAGACGATATCCCAGTGATGGTAGTAGTAGTAGTAGTAGTGGTGGTGGTAGCAGTGGTTCGCGCTAAAGGCAAAACAAAAGCTGGCGACATTCCACGCACCCTAAAAAAAAACATGGCGCTTCAAGGGAAAGGTCCTCTCATAACCCTTAGCTTAGGGCCATGACACAAAAGAAAAAATGCTTATGCTTACAAGTGGTACCTTCTAAAAAAATCATATCAATTTCAAACGTCCATATACAGGAATAAAAAAAAAATGAACGCCTTTCTCACTCTCTCTCTGAATTCTAAATTTCTCTATTCCAATTTAATAATTTTTTTCCTTTTTAGCAATTTTTTTTTTAATTTTTGCTCAATTATTCATATTTTTCACAAATGAAATAAATTATTATTAATTAATAAATAATTTATATTAATTAATAAATTTATTTGTATTAATTAATCATTTATGTGTATTAATTAATAATTTATTTTATTTATTCTCTTGTATACTATGTACATAGTTTTTACATTTTAAAATCCCTTATATTAATATAAATTTAATTTTAAATTTAATAACAAATTTCTTATTAAATTATTTATATTATTTAGTACAAATATATATATATACAAATAATTATTTTTTTTAATTTATTGAATATTTAATTTAAAAAAATAGAAAACCAAAGCTTTTTTAAACTGGAACTTTTTCGCGAAAAAAATATTTACCTGGAATAGCGAATGGATTTACAATAGCAAAAATTTTAATGATTTCAGTTAAATCTTTCACTATTCTAGTAAAACCTTTCGTTGTTTGAAATGAAATTTTTTTCCGAGTATGATTAAAATTCTTTTTTTTTTATTAAAAGGAACTATTTTCTCCGTTTATATAAGAAATTTACATAAAATTATTAAAAATTTGTCATCAACCAAAAATTGTTTTTGTTTTATTAATTTTTTTTTATTCTTCTTCTTCATATTCTATTTTTTATTTTACATTTTATTAATTTACATTTTACTATTTCATATTTTATTAATTTACATTTTATTATTTAAGATTTTATGTATTGAAAAAAAATTGTTTTTTGAAAATATTTAACTCTAACAAATTTTCCTCTTGAAAATCATAAAATCCATATTGTCATTATTATATTAATATATAAGAGGAAGCGCATTGTTCAAAAAAAGTTAAAAAGCTCTTTGGTCGTCGCCTTCCTTTTTTTTCATCATGAGATAAATAATAATAGAGTTAAAATAAAAATTGACTGAAAAATAAATACAATGAAAGATAATGGGTTCCCCATGAGACGTAAGTGGATTAGAATAAAAGACAAAAGCTAAATCATAAACGTGTTTTATGCCACACGAGGGAGAGAAGAGGGAGCCACATGTTTGATAAGAAAACAATTTAAAACAAAAAAATACATTTTCAATACATTAATATGAAAATTATGTTTGAAATTTAAAAGAACAATTGTTTTATATATAAATACAAACATTGTTTTTTTGTTTGATATTTATTATTTCGAAAAACACTGTTTTCCATTTAGATTATTAAACCAAAAAATTGTCACCGAACAATAAAACAAAAGGAAATAGGAAAAAATTAATAATATTCAAATTATAAAGACTTGCAAATAATACAATAATAAAGAAAAAATACAAAGAAAAAAAATTTTTCAAGAGAATAATTTGATTTAAAAAAAAAAATGAATTTTTTTTCTTTCACATGTATATTTTTTTAAAAATTATGATGATGATGATAATAATAATGATTAGATGGATAACTGGCTTTCTTGGTTCGATAAAATTTTCATAGGATGTTCAAAGCGGCGTGATTAAGAATTTATAAGCAAAATGCCCTGCATTTATAATGGGAAAAAAATCCATATAGGGCGGCCGCGCCCATCATATATAATAGACGCTTTCCCCTTCTCGGGGTCCACCTTCTCATCTCATCTCATCTCGTTCGCTAACCTTCACCGTCTTCTTTTTCATCTTCTTTAACTTTTTCGTTCTCTTCTTCTTCTTCTTCTTCAACAACCCTCTACTACCTCATTTCACCCCCTTCCTTCTTTTTGCCCCCCCCTCCCCTTTCCTCCACCGTCATTTCACCCATCAACCCCACGCCTTCGTCTCCTGCTTTTCAAACTACTTTTAATCAATATTTAAAGAATTGCGCCTTAATAACCGGCGTGCGGCGCTTCGCATAATGGCGGGAGTTATAATTTTAACAAAATGCGCGCCATCTTATGGTGTTTTCATAAAGCATCGAAAAATATCGATTGTAGTTAAAGTAGAATTCTATATATTATAAAGAAAAATTTTCTTAATTCATAGAAATTACCTTCAAATGATATAAAATTTTTGAATGAATATATTTTCTACCTTTTCTCGCGATGAAAAAAATTTACCGATATGATAAATTTTGGTTTTTTTTATTGATTTTCACCGAATGGATATTCTACATAGATAATATATATTGGCGCCCTTATGAATATAATGTGTATATGCATTTTATTCATACAGTTATAAAATATAATTTTAAGAAAAAAAAATTCTACAATTTGAAAAATTGGTTCCTATTTTTGGCATATTTTTTTTTTACTTAAAGAAAATGAATGAATTATTAGATTTTCGTATATTTAGAATTTTTTAAAGTGTTTAGAAAGAATAAAATCTATTTTATTGATTTATTTAGGATATCATTTTTTTATTTAACTTAATTTATATTTAAGAAAATTACAATTTAAGAAAATTACAATTTAAGAAAATTACAATTTAAGAGTAGTGAAAGACAATTTTAGGCAGACTTCGAAAATTGTAAATTTTTAATATTAAATGTCAATTTTAGTCAGAAAACCTTTTAGTTTCTTTTAATTTTAGTATCAATAGAAAAAGTCTGTCTCAATTAGACAACGTAAAAATCATCAAATTCTTGTAAATTAAGGTATTAGTAGTAAAAATCACTTTCAGTCAGACATGCTAATTTTTGTCATTTTCGATTTTAGTAATAAAAGTTAGTTTCAAATTGACTACTAATTTCTTGTAAATTAAGAAATAAGTGCACTCAGAAAAAAGATATTTTTGAACCAAATGTACCATTTTTTTATATTTATCCAATTTTTTGGTTAGTTCAAACAAAATTTGTTTAATTCAAATAAATATTTATTTGATCTAAATAACTGTTTGGTTTATTTTAATAAATTTTTTGAAGCAAAGAAAAAATTTGATTGAGCTAAATAAACGTTTGGTTTATGCAACCAAATGTTTGGTTAACTGTATATCAATGCATTTATTTTGTTAATTTAACCAAAATTTGGTTGCTTCAAACGAATTTTTTTCTAAGTGTGGTAAGAGTCAATGTTAGTCAGATACAATTTTTAATTAATGAAATTTTAGTATTAGTAGTTAGTGGCAAATTAAGTCAGACGAATAGATTAAAAAATATAATTTTAGTGGAAAAAATAAGTTTTGGTCAGACAGTCAATATTGTCAATTTTATCAAAATTTAAGTATTAGTAGTTCAAGTCAGTTTTGCTCTCTAAATCTAAATTAGTAAAAATGTTTACTAATTTGAATTAGTGACTCACTTTTTGCTTCTGAATAAAGTTTTACTAATTGTTAGTAAAAGTTACTAATAATTAGTCAAATTTTACTAATTCAGAAGCAAAAAGTGAGTCACTAATTCAAATTAGTAAATATTTTTACTAATTCAGATTTAGAGAGTGGAGAGACAATTTGTAAAATTGTCAAATTCTTAAGAATTTAGTTATATTAGTAGTAAAAATTAGTTTTAGTCAGCCAAAATTAAAATTTTTTTAATAGTTGTATATTTAAATATAAGTAGTAGAAGTCAGTTTTAGTCAGACAACGTTTTTAAATTGTCAAGTTAATGTAAATTTTAGTAGCGAAAGTCAGTCTTAGTCAGCCAATTTTGGAAATTGGAAAATTTTTTAAAAATTAATTTACATTAGTCGTTAAAATTAGTTTTAACAACATTTTAAGTTGCTAAAGAATTCAAATAATAAATATTAGTAAAAATTAATTTTAGTCGAACTTATAAAATAATTCTTAAATACCAGTAGAAATTCATTATTATTAATCATTACGGTTTGATACTTTGAAGAAAAGTTGCATATGTCCAGCCTGACAACATAATCTGTATATATAAAAAAGAAACAAATTAAGAAATTATCATGAGAATTATTTTAATTTCAATTAATTATCACTATAATATAGAAATCAATTATATTAATGAAAAAGTTTTTATAATATCTTACATTTTTAAATGTGTCAAGTGACATGAGAAAAAATTTCCCTCCCGTGAGTGTCAATGGCCTTTGCGATCTAATAATAATTAACATTAATGATTGAACTAATTGTGGATCACAATCTTCCCAATTCGAATTGTAAACTTGAACACCTATATCTATACTCTTGAGGAAATTTTAAACATGTATTATGTACGAGAAAATTTTTCACAGAAAATTAAAAGGCATTAAAATAAGCTGTGCAACGCTTATTATTTTAATCCAATTTTGTTTATTTTAATACGTTTTGGTATTAAAATAAGCAAAATTAGATTAAAATAATAAGCGGTGCTGCTTATTTTAATTCACAAATTTGATTATTGTTACTTAAAAAATTTATGCAAAAAATTTATATGTAAAATATATATAAATTTTTATATATATATTATTTGTATTTGTAAATATAATATGAACTTACGTGATTAATCAGATTTTCGCCAACATAATTGTACAAAAATATCAAAATTGTCGGTGTTAAAAGGTAGATAATGTTAATGAAGATACTATAAATATCTTTAGCTGGTGAAACCTTATATACGAAACAAATTATAAAAATTACAACCCTAAAAATGTTTTTTAAAAAAAATTTATTTTAATATTGAATATATTTACCACAAGAAGAACAAACATCACAAAGCACAGACTTATAACAGTGATTACAACTTCCATTAAAAACATAATGTTAAACGAGCTTTCAAGGACCTTTGAATCTCTATGGAAGAAATTTTCAATTATTATTATTATTATTTTTCACTGAAAAAAAAAAATTATTTAATTCAAATACTCAATTACTTGACTATTATCAAAAAAATATTTACTTAAACCAAATAATTTTTTTTTCATTGTGATTAGGATATAAAAAATTAAGAAATGATTTTTTTTTTTATAAATATCTCTCTTGCTGTTAATGAAATATCTTTGAATTTTAATTTTATGTTATAAAATTATAATAATACCTTATTAATTTTTGATGTCGTTCAATGATATGTTCAAAGGAATTATACTGTTGAGAAATCATTGAGCTGTCATTATGAAAAACATTATTTTCATTTACAATGCTTTTGATATTTAGACCCAATACTTGTAATTGTCCACATAAATGAAAAACAATGAGAGTTAAAAAATTATTAACACTTATCGATGCAGCAATTGCATAGCCTGTTAAAAATAATTGCAACAAATAAGCTAATTCAATGTTTGATGATTCTTGAAGATCAAATGGATAATAAGTTATACACAAACAGGATTTTTGTGAAAATTCAGTTTCAAATCCCATTAGTGGCCTTGTCATAAAATCTAAAAAGAATATATTTAATTCTTGAATAATTAATTTAAAATTTATCAAATATTTTTCACAATTATTTTAATTTTCAATTATTTTTGTATAATTTATATTTTTATATAAAATTAGCTATTAAATTACTTACGAATGAAAGAACCACCAACTAAAACAATACATAAAGCATTAAGATATCTCCCACGTTTTGAATGATGTATCATTATATTTTTTGACTTTTTTGACAATGACTTGTCATTCCAATCTTGAATCATATCTTGTACAAGTGGTGCAAGTTTTTCTTTTGAAATTCCAATAAATATTACTTTAATAAATGTTGATATTAAATTGATACATAGGAATATAATTTCAACTTCGGTAAAAAAATTATTCACAAGATAACATTTTATCATTACTGGCATTGTTATGGAGAAAACAAATATTAATGTAAGAATGAAACGGAATTTTGAAAAACGATCTTCAATTGGCCACATTCCACAAAATTGCATACTCCAACGTGTGAGTTTTACAGTAAAATCAAAATTATATTTTTCTTTATTTTGCGATGACATGATTTCTAATAAATTTTAACTGTTTCAACTAAACACTAGAAAAACACTTTCTTTCTAATTTTCATATAAGCTCGAATTGTCTATGTGATAACGATTTAATGACTCTCCCAACTATTTTGTAATATTTTTCGAGGTAGATGTTTAATGAGATTTTTAATTATTCACAAAAAGGAAATATAATAAGGGCCACATTTGTCAATTAGTCTATATCGATTTTTCCTAAATGAAAATTTGTTATTCACGAAAGTAAATAGAGAAAAATATTTTTCGCTTATGAAACAATTACGAATTTCTAATTTTATTATTTATTTTAAGGGTAGAAATATTATAATTAGAAGATAAATACGTTAATGACCCGAATATTCACGGAAAAAAGATTTACCTGAAACACCAATGGGGATTCATTGGAATGGTAAAAGTTTTAATTGTTTCAGTTAAATCTTTCACTGTTACAGATAAAGTTTTTTTTCGTATTATGTTCATCTAGAGAAATTTTATATTTGTCTCGAGGACAAATAAATTTTATTTGATTTAAATAAAAATTTTATTTATGACAAATAAAATGTTTATTTAAGCCAAATAAAAAATTGTTATGTTAACATGTCTATGTTAATAAAATTGTTCTGAGACAAATGTACATTTATCTAACTCAAATATATTATATTTGTTTTATAATAAAAAACGAATTTTTGAAAATTCTTAAAGATTTTAGATTCTTTAAAATTTTTAAATGATTTCTTTTATTGTAAACAAATTTTTGTTGGTATATTATTAAATAATTTATTTATAGTTTATTTTAGAAACAAAATTTATTTTTAATTTCACGCCAAAATGCCATCTAGCTACAGTGAAATGAAGTCAAATGAAATATTACTACAAAACTCTAATCAATAAATTACCATTGCAATTACAAAATTATCAACTGTTAATTATTGTAATCGTTTAATTTAAAAATTTCAATGAATTCGAAAAAAATTATTAATCAGAAAATTATAATTCACAAATTTTTTTTGATATTTTATAATTGCCTCTCAATTCATAATTAATTATTATAATAATACGAACTACAAAATATTTTGTTTTAAATTTAATTTCACAATAATTTAAAAGTATCAAATTTATACCAAAAAAAAAATTCAATTCATATAAAAAGGATCAATTTGATATTTTTAAATTAGCGTGTTTTAAATACTATAAACAATTTATTTGACATTATTAAACATTATTAAATTCATTAAACAATAATCGAAAATCTTCACATGAGATTTATGGCAATATCACTTTTTATTCTTTTCGTATTCGAATTAGTGTATCACATTTATTTAGATGTGAATTTTTTTTTTTGTTAATGGAATTCTGTCGACCTTTCGATATTTGTTTTTATGACAGTAAAGACAGTGTACCTGATGAGATTCTGTAGAATTTTTTTTTTTTTGTTTCACATATACGTGATAAAAAACACGTTCTAATATTTACATTGATTAACATATATTTTTTTATTAAGTTACCTTTAACATTTTCCTTCCTTTCTTGTCTCGGAAACAAAAAATTCCACGAATCAAAGAAAATTGACATAATATTTTTAATAGAATTTTCTTTTTTCATTGGAGTAGGCTGAAAATTTTTTACTCTTAGTTTTAAACAAATATTTCCATTTTTATCAACGTATTCCGTTGCCACTGCTTGTTTTCTTGTATTTTTGATCTGGAAAGAAAATCAAAATTGAAATTTATTATCAAAATAGTTCTTACTAATACTAAAATTGTAAGAATTTAAAATGTCTGACTGAAACTGTCTTTTACTACTGTTAATATTTCTACTAATATTTTCAGAATTTTCCAATTTTAAAAAATTTTCTGACTAAGTCTGACTTTCACTACTAACATTAAAATTTAGATTAACTTGACAATTTAAAAATGTTGTCTGACTAAAACTGACTTCTACTACTTATATTTAAATATTCAACTATTTAACAATTTAAAATTTTGGCTAACTAAAACTTATTTTTACTACTGATATAACTAAATTCTTAAGAAATTGACAATTTTACAAAAATTGTCTGTCCAAGAATGACTCGAACTACTAATACTTAAGTTTAAATAAAATTTACAATATGTAAGACTGTCTGACTAAAACAAATTTTTCAGAAACTGCTCGTCTGACTTAATTTGTCAATAACTACTAATACTAAAATTTCATTAATTAAAAATCTTGTCTGACTAACACTGACTTATTTTTTTATTTACAAAAAGTTAATAGTCTGACTAAGACTGGCTTTTACTACTAATACAATAATTCCAAGAGGAGTTATAAAAATAACGTAAATAAATAATATTTACATTCAACGATTTTCTTTTATAGTTTTTTGTTAAATTTTGCAAATATTTTCTAAATTCTCCATATTCACTTTTAATTTGTTTCAATAAATATTTGTCAATTGTTGATGTTAAAATATTTATATTTGAATTTTTCTCTAAAATTGAACATGACACTGCAACATCTTTTTTTAAAACACTATCACAAATCGAATCACTACTTCTGCAATAATCAAATAACACACAGAAGTAATAATAAAAATAAAAAATATATATGTAAAATTTTATAATAATTTAAATTTACAACACAAAAATTGTTTTTAAAAAAATAATTCCTTTAAAAATAACTGAAAATTACAATAATTTTAATTAGTTGATTAAAGTATGTTTAAAATTTAAAAAAAAAACGTAAACAATAAATAATTACAATTGAAATACGGACTAAGAGATAAATTAAAAGTAAAATAGAACCTGTAATACGAAAATTCACAATAATCAGTTGGGCCAGTAGTTACATCATTTTCCATGTGAATAACATTGTTTTGAATCAAGGCCACATAATTGCAGAGTCTTTTGTCGATGATGAGAGAAGTTTCATTCGATGAAGTAGTCAACGGATGGGTACGGCGAACCAAACTTTTATTTAATTTTTTTATGTCCATACTTTTGTAATTTCCTTTCTCGTCATATTTTCTCTTTTCAACTTCCATATTGTCTGCCTCATGTCCATTATATTCACAAATATAAATATTATCACTGTATGCAAAACATATTCCTTTTTTTTAATAATATATATTTAAAAAAAAAACTCAATTTCTAATTAAAAATTACAAAATATATTATATTTCCCATTTCCTCTAACGAATGAAAATTACAAAGAAATGTCAAAATTTTCAAAAGGGTTATAATTGCAAAGAAATAAAAACAAAAGTACTGTCATTCTGTCCTAACTTGAAGTTGGTCTTTAATAATTTCCCTGTTTTTTTTGAATTGTAATATTATGACGTGTCAAATTTGTGTCAAATTTTGAAAACTCTTTTTCTCATTTTTGACAAAGTTGTATAATTGTGTTTTCAAATTTCGGAATTGGTTTCTCCAAAATTTCTTTATAATAAACAATTAAATGCCCAATATCTCGCGCTTGCGCGCGTTTAATTCTACTAGTGATAGAATAAAATTGGTTATTCTTATTATTTTTTAAATACAGTTCAAGTGTTACACTTTATACGGTAAAATACATTGTTTTACAAAAAAAAAAAAATAGAGACATGCTGTTTAATTTTTTTTGAATCTGTAAGAAATTTTTTCATTTTCCAGGAAAACATTCTATTCAAAAAAATGGAATAAAATTGATTATTCTTAGTCTACTGCAATTTAGGTTGAATTAGTGGTTTTTTTGAAGGTTCTTTGAAGGTTCTTTTAAGGTAAAAAAATAATAGAGACATGCTGATTAATTTTATTTGAATTTTTTGGAATTTTTCATTTTCCAGGAAAACATTCTATTCAAAAAAATGGAATAAAATTCATTATTCTTAGTCTACTGCAATTTAGGTTCAATTGGTAGGTTTTTTTGAAGTTCTTTGAAGGTTCTTTGAAGGTAAAAAATAATAGAGACATGCTGATTAATTTTATTTGAATTTGTAAGGAATTCTTTCATTTTCCAGGAAAACATTCTATTCAAAAAAAATGGAATAAAATTGATTATTCTTAGTCTACTGCAATTTAGGTTCAATTGGTAGGTTTTTTTGAAGGTTCTTTGAAAGTTCTTTGAAGGTAAAAAAATAATAGAGACATGCTGATTAATTTTATTTGAATTTGTAAGGAATTCTTTCATTTTCCAGGAAAACATTCTATTCAAAAAAATGGAATAAAATTGATTATTCTTAGTCTACTGCAATTTAGGTTCAATTGGTAGGTTTTTTTGAAGTTCTTTGAAGGTTCTTTGAAGGTAAAAAAATAATAGAGACATGCTGATTAATTTTATTTGAATTTGTAAGGAATTCTTTCATTTTCCAGGAAAACATTCTATTCAAAAAAATGGAATAAAATTGATTATTCTTAGTCTACTGCAATTTAGGTTTAATTGGTAGGTTTTTTTGAAGGTTCATTGAAAGTTCTTTGAAGGTAAAAAAATAATAGATACATGCTGATTAATTTATTCGAATTTTTATTGAATTTTTTCATTTTCCAGGAAAACATTCTATTCAAAAAAATGGAATAAAATTGATTATTCTTAGTCTACTGCAATTTAGGTTCAATTGGTAGGTTTTTTTGAAGGTTCTTTGAAGGTTCTTTGAAGGTAAAAAAATAATAGAGACATGCTGATTAATTTTATTTGAATTTTTTGGAATTTTTCATTTTCCAGGAAAACATTCTATTCAAAAAAATGGAATAAAATTGATTATTCTTAGTCTACTGCAATTTAGGTTCAATTGGTAGGTTTTTTTGAAGGTTCTTTGAAGGTTCTTTGAAGGTAAAAAAATAATAGAGCCATGCTGATTAATTTTTTTTAAATTTGTAAGGAATTTTTTCATTTTCCAGGAAAACATTCTATTTAAAAAAATGGAATAAAATTGATTATTCTTAGTCTACTGCAATTTAGGTTCAATTGGTAGGTTTTTTTGAAGGTTCTTTGATGGTTCTTTGAAGGTAAAAAAATAATAGAGACATGCTGATTAATTTTTTTTAAATTTGTAAGGAATTTTTTCATTTTCCAGGAAAACATTCTATTCAAAAAAATGGAATAAAATTGATTATTCTTAGTCTACTGCAATTTAGGTTCAATTGGTATTTTTTTTGAAGGTATTACGTGTTGTTTTAAGGTAAAAAAATAAGAGAACCATGCTGATTAATTTTTTTTAAATTTGTAAGGAATTTTTTCATTTTCCAGGAAAACATTCTATTCAAAAAAATGGAATAAAATTGATTATTCTTAGTCTACTGCAATTTAGGTTCAATTGGTAGGTTTTTTTGAAGGTTCTTTGAAGGTTCTTTGAAGGTAAAAAAATAATAGAGACATGCTGATTAATTTTATTTGAATTTGTAAGGAATTTTTTCATTTTCCAGGAAAACATTCTATTTAAAAAAATGGAATAAAATTGATTATTCTTAGTCTACTGCAATTTAGGTTCAATTGGTAGGTTTTTTTGAAGGTTCTTTGATGGTTCTTTGAAGGTAAAAAAATAATAGAGACATGCTGATTAATTTTATTTGACTTTGAACGGGATTTTTTCATTTTCCAGGAAAACATTCTATCAAAAAAATGGAATAAAATTGATTATTCTTAGTCTCCTGCAATTTAGGTTCAATTGGTAGGTTTTTTTGAAGGTTCTTTGAAGGTTCTTTGAAGGTAAAAAAATAATAGAGACATGCTGATTAATTTTATTTGAATTTTTTGGAATTTTTCATTTTCCAGGAAAACATTCTATTCAAAAAAATGGAATAAAATTGATTAATCTTAGTCTACTGCAATTTAGGTTCAATTGGTAGGTTTTTTTGAAGGTTCTTTGAAGGTTCTTTGAAGGTAAAAAAATAATAGAGCCATGCTGATTAATTTTTTTTAAATTTGTAAGGAATTTTTTCATTTTCCAGGAAAACATTCTATTCAAAAAAATGGAATAAAATTGATTATTCTTAGTCTACTGCAATTTAGGTTCAATTGGTAGGTTTTTTTGAAGGTTCTTTGAAGGTTCTTTGAAGGTAAAAAAATAATAGAGCCATGCTGATTAATTTTTTTTAAATTTGTAAGGAATTTTTTCATTTTCCAGGAAAACATTCTATTCAAAAAAATGGAATAAATTGATTATTCTTAGTCTACTGCAATTTAGGTTCAATTGGTAGGTTTTTTTGAAGGTTCTTTGAAGGTTCTTTGAAGGTAAAAAAATAATAGAGCCATGCTGATTAATTTTTTTTAAATTTGTAAGGAATTTTTTCATTTTCCAGGAAAACATTCTATTTAAAAAAATGGAATAAAATTGATTATTCTTACTCTCCTGCAATTTAGGTTCAATTGGTAGGTTTTTTTGAAGGTTCTTTGAAGGTTCTTTGAAGGTAAAAAAATAATAGAGCCATGCTGATTAATTTTTTTTAAATTTGTAAGGAATTTTTTCATTTTCCAGGAAAACATTCTATTCAAAAAAATGGAATAAAATTGATTATTCTTAGTCTATTGCAATTTAGGTTCAATTGGTAGGTTTTTTTGAAGGTATTTTAAAGGTACAAAAGGTTTGAAAATAATAGAGACATGCTGATTAATTTTTTTTGAATTTGTAAGGAATTTTTTCATTTTCCAGGAAAACATTCTATTTAAAAAAATGGAATAAAATTGATTATTCTTAGTCTACTGCAATTTAGGTTCAATTGGTAGGTTTTTTTGAAGGTTCTTTGAAGGTTCTTTGAAGGTAAAAAAATAATAGAGACATGCTGATTAATTTTATTTGAATTTTTTGGAATTTTTCATTTTCCAGGAAAACATTCTATTCAAAAAAATGGAATAAAATTGATTATTCTTAGTCTACTGCAATTTAGGTTCAATTGGTAGGTTTTTTTGAAGGTTCTTTGAAGGTTCTTTGAAGGTAAAAAAATAATAGAGCCATGCTGATTAATTTTTTTTAAATTTGTAAGGAATTTTTTCATTTTCCAGGAAAACATTCTATTCAAAAAAATGGAATAAAATTGATTATTCTTAGTCTACTGCAATTTAGGTTCAATTGGTAGGTTTTTTTGAAGGTTCTTTGAAGGTTCTTTGAAGGTAAAAAAATAATAGAGCCATGCTGATTAATTTTTTTTAAATTTGTAAGGAATTTTTTCATTTTCCAGGAAAACATTCTATTCAAAAAAATGGAATAAAATTGATTATTCTTAGTCTATTGCAATTTAGGTTCAATTGGTAGGTTTTTTTGAAGGTATTTTAAAGGTACAAAAGGTTTGAAAATAATAGAGACATGCTGATTAATTTTTTTTGAATTTGTAAGGAATTTTTTCATTTTCCAGGAAAACATTCTATCAAAAAAATGGAATAAAATTGATTATTCTTAGTCTCCTGCAATTTAGGTTCAATTGGTAGGTTTTTTTGAAGGTTCTTTGAAGGTTCTTTGAAGGTAAAAAAATAATAGAGACATGCTGATTAATTTTATTTGACTTTGAACGGGATTTTTTCATTTTCCAGGAAAACATTCTATCAAAAAAATGGAATAAAATTGATTATTCTTAGTCTCCTGCAATTTAGGTTCAATTGGTAGGTTTTTTTGAAGGTTCTTTGAAGGTTCTTTGAAGGTAAAAAAATAATAGAGCCATGCTGATTAATTTTTTTTAAATTTGTAAGGAATTTTTTCATTTTCCAGGAAAACATTCTATTCAAAAAAATGGAATAAAATTGATTATTCTTAGTCTACTGCAATTTAGGTTCAATTGGTATTTTTTTTGAAGGTATTACGTGTTGTTTTAAGGTAAAAAAATAATAGAGCCATGCTGATTAATTTTTTTTAAATTTGTAAGGAATTTTTTCATTTTCCAGGAAAACATTCTATTTAAAGAAATGGAATAAAATTGATTATTCTTAGTCTACTGCAATTTAGGTTCAATTGGTAGGTTTTTTTGAAGGTTCTTTGATGGTTCTTTGAAGGTAAAAAAATAATAGAGACATGCTGATTAATTTTATTTGACTTTGAACGGGATTTTTTCATTTTCCAGGAAAACATTCTATCAAAAAAATGGAATAAAATTGATTATTCTTAGTCTCCTGCAATTTAGGTTCAATTGGTAGGTTTTTTTGAAGGTTCTTTGAAGGTTCTTTGAAGGTAAAAAAATAATAGAGCCATGCTGATTAATTTTTTTTAAATTTGTAAGGAATTTTTTCATTTTCCAGGAAAACATTCTATTCAAAAAAATGGAATAAAATTGATTATTCTTAGTCTACTGCAATTTAGGTTCAATTGGTAGGTTTTTTTGAAGGTTCTTTGAAGGTTCTTTGAAGGTAAAAAAATAATAGAGCCATGCTGATTAATTTTTTTTAAATTTGTAAGGAATTTTTTCATTTTCCAGGAAAACATTCTATTCAAAAAAATGGAATAAAATTGATTATTCTTAGTCTACTGCAATTTAGGTTCAATTGGTAGGTTTTTTTGAAGGTTCTTTGAAGGTTCTTTGAAGGTAAAAAAATAATAGAGCCATGCTGATTAATTTTTTTTAAATTTGTAAGGAATTTTTTCATTTTCCAGGAAAACATTCTATTCAAAAAAATGGAATAAAATTGATTATTCTTAGTCTATTGCAATTTAGGTTCAATTGGTAGGTTTTTTTGAAGGTATTTTAAAGGTACAAAAGGTTTGAAAATAATAGAGACATGCTGATTAATTTTTTTTGAATTTGTAAGGAATTTTTTCATTTTCCAGGAAAACATTCTATCAAAAAAATGGAATAAAATTGATTATTCTTAGTCTCCTGCAATTTAGGTTCAATTGGTAGGTTTTTTTGAAGGTTCTTTGAAGGTTCTTTGAAGGTAAAAAAATAATAGAGACATGCTGATTAATTTTATTTGACTTTGAACGGGATTTTTTCATTTTCCAGGAAAACATTCTATCAAAAAAATGGAATAAAATTGATTATTCTTAGTCTCCTGCAATTTAGGTTCAATTGGTAGGTTTTTTTGAAGGTTCTTTGAAGGTTCTTTGAAGGTAAAAAAATAATAGAGACATGCTGATTAATTTTATTTGACTTTGAACGGGATTTTTTCATTTTCCAGGAAAACATTCTATCAAAAAAATGGAATAAAATTGATTATTCTTAGTCTCCTGCAATTTAGGTTCAATTGGTAGGTTTTTTTGAAGGTTCTTTGAAGGTTCTTTGAAGGTAAAAAAATAATAGAGCCATGCTGATTAATTTTTTTTAAATTTGTAAGGAATTTTTTCATTTTCCAGGAAAACATTCTATTCAAAAAAATGGAATAAAATTGATTATTCTTAGTCTACTGCAATTTAGGTTCAATTGGTATTTTTTTTGAAGGTATTACGTGTTGTTTTAAGGTAAAAAAATAATAGAGCCATGCTGATTAATTTTTTTTAAATTTGTAAGGAATTTTTTCATTTTCCAGGAAAACATTCTATTTAAAAAAATGGAATAAAATTGATTATTCTTAGTCTACTGCAATTTAGGTTCAATTGGTAGGTTTTTTTGAAGGTTCTTTGATGGTTCTTTGAAGGTAAAAAAATAATAGAGACATGCTGATTAATTTTATTTGACTTTGAACGGGATTTTTTCATTTTCCAGGAAAACATTCTATCAAAAAAATGGAATAAAATTGATTATTCTTAGTCTCCTGCAATTTAGGTTCAATTGGTAGGTTTTTTTGAAGGTTCTTTGAAGGTTCTTTGAAGGTAAAAAAATAATAGAGACATGCTGATTAATTTTATTTGACTTTGAACGGGATTTTTTCATTTTCCAGGAAAACATTCTATCAAAAAAATGGAATAAAATTGATTATTCTTACTCTCCTGCAATTTAGGTTCAATTGGTAGGTTTTTTTGAAGGTTCTTTGAAGGTTCTTTGAAGGTAAAAAAATAATAGAGCCATGCTGATTAATTTTTTTTAAATTTGTAAGGAATTTTTTCATTTTCCAGGAAAACATTCTATTCAAAAAAATGGAATAAAATTGATTATTCTTAGTCTACTGCAATTTAGGTTCAATTGGTATTTTTTTTGAAGGTATTACGTGTTGTTTTAAGGTAAAAAAATAATAGAGCCATGCTGATTAATTTTTTTTAAATTTGTAAGGAATTTTTTCATTTTGCAGGAAAACATTCTATTCAAAAAAATGGAATAAAATTGATTATTCTTAGTCTACTGCAATTTAGGTTCAATTGGTAGGTTTTTTTGAAGGTTCTTTGAAGGTTCTTTGAAGGTAAAAAAATAATAGAGCCATGCTGATTAATTTTTTTTAAATTTGTAAGGAATTTTTTCATTTTCCAGGAAAACATTCTATTCAAAAAAATGGAATAAAATTGATTATTCTTAGTCTACTGCAATTTAGGTTCAATTGGTATTTTTTTTGAAGGTATTACGTGTTGTTTTAAGGTAAAAAAATAATAGAGCCATGCTGATTAATTTTTTTTAAATTTGTAAGGAATTTTTTCATTTTGCAGGAAAACATTCTATTCAAAAAAATGGAATAAAATTGATTATTCTTAGTCTACTGCAATTTAGGTTCAATTGGTAGGTTTTTTTGAAGGTTCTTTGAAGGTTCTTTGAAGGTAAAAAAATAATAGAGCCATGCTGATTAATTTTTTTTAAATTTGTAAGGAATTTTTTCATTTTCCAGGAAAACATTCTATTCAAAAAAATGGAATAAAATTGATTATTCTTAGTCTACTGCAATTTAGGTTCAATTGGTATTTTTTTTGAAGGTATTACGTGTTGTTTTAAGGTAAAAAAATAATAGAGCCATGCTGATTAATTTTTTTTAAATTTGTAAGGAATTTTTTCATTTTGCAGGAAAACATTCTACCTAAAAAAATCGAAAAAAATTGATTATTCTTATTCTATTGCAATTTACGTTCAATTGGTAGGTTTTTTTGAAGGTAATAAGTGTTGTTTTACAAGAAAAAAAATAATAGAGACATGCTGTTTAATTTTTTTTTAACTTTTTAACTGTCAAATTTGTGTCAAATATTGAAAATTACTATTCTCATTTTTGTCAAAGTTGTATAATTGTGTTTTCAAATTTCGGAATTGGTTTCTTTAAAATATCTTTATAATAAACAACGGAATATCTAATTTTGCGCGCGTTTAATTTTTCTAGTTAATAATAATTTATTATTGATATTATTATTTATTATTAATTAACCATTATAATTATTTATTATATAATTAATTATTATACGTACAATGAACTATTAATTATTAATTATTATCTAAATTTATTCATTATTTCCATCTTTGTCATTTTTATTATTTACTGATTTATTTAAATTTAATTTATTATTTTAAAAATACTAATTTTTTTTACCTTAAAAACACAAGTATAATAAATAACGTATTTGCTCCTGAAAGTAGGCAAACAGATACGCATAACTGCTTTTAAATTATTATAATAAAATTTCTTTCTAATTTTGTAATTTATTTATTATTTTATTTAATTATTTTGATAAAATGATTTCTTATGATTTGCTAAAAAAAAAAAATTTTTTTTTAAGATAAAAGAAATAAAAAAGAGGAAAAATATAAATTATATTCTTGTGATGGTTGAAAGTATCAGGTGGAAGAATACAACAACTGGTAGTCGGCCATGACAGTAGTGTGTAAGTAGTTAATGGCAGTCGATGACAGACCACCGTGACATACGTTTGTGTCTCTGTTTTAAAAGTTTTAAATTAATAAATAAATGTTATTTATTTTCCTCACAAAAATTAAAATAAAATCATTGTGAATTGGAATATTTTCATAAACATTTGAAAATATTAATAATTTTAAATAAATCTCACTCTCTATATATAAATGAGCAACAGGTGAAATGTTATTCTTCGACAACGTTAAACACGATTCATTCGCAGTGAGCTCGATGCGTGTCAAGTTGATTATATCCAAAGAAATCACGAAGCCGGTTTTATTACGTATTTCCTCTCAAGATCAATCTTGATTTAATATTCCAAAAAATTACAACAATAAAATGTCAATCAAGTGTTAAAACAAATGTAAATTGAGAGAAAAGAAAAATTATCCATAAATTTAGATATTTTTTTAAATATTTCAAAATAATATTCAGTGGAGTTAAAAAAAAAACCAGTGTTTAAATAATGGATAAATCGCATTCAGTGAAAGTTTTTCAAAGTTGGAATATATAAGTGGGTCAAGTGGAAAAATAACAATAATTGTTTTTATAAAATCTAAACATTATACAACTATCGGGAATTTTTGTCGTCACATTGAAGATGAATCTTTGGAATTGCAAATGAAGAAAAAAGTGTTTCCGTCAGTTTTTTTTTTTAATTTTAATTCTTTAGACGTATAATTTACAAAGCGATTGCAAAAAAGTTTGAATGGAAATTTTTATTAATAATAGACATGATTTGAATGTGTAAAAAAAAGTTTCATTAGCATCAAATTTTAATTGGTATAATATATACCTTTTTTTTGAATATCTAGTGCCTCAAAAAAAAGTGATGAGTTAAAATGATTGTCGAAGTTGGATGAAAAATCGGAAAAAAAAAATATTTTTTTCTACGATAAATGTGACAAGTTTTAAAATATTCTCAATAGGAGGAGTGAATATTGCTGCTCATTTTTCAACAAATGTGGAGCGATGTTCTTCAGATGGATTTTCTTGACGTGCCTCCTCATTGGTACCGGTGAGTTTATTCACCTGATTTCAATCCTATTATAATTATTTTATTATTTAATTTCTATTTTATAATTTCTATTTTTTAATTGTACTATTCATTATTTTAATTTTAAATATTATTGTTCTAAATTCGAATTTGTTTTTATTTAATAATAAAAACTGCATTTTATTCTCAATAGAATAAATATTCTTAAAATATAGTAAACAAATTCTTTGTTTGATTTTTCTTTTGTTGGCCACAAAAAAAAAATTTTATGTAAATTTTGTTTTGGAGTTTTTTTTATACATTTTTTTTACGATTTAACATATAAAAGCCCTCTATCATTATTCGAAAGAATTTAAAAAATATAACAGTTTTTAATATCGTCATAAAAAAGTAGCAATTTTAAATGCGAAATTGCGACAATTACTCCGCAGAGGTAGTAGAATAATGAAACTGTTATAAATGTAAAAATCAACTCTTCATATTTCGTAAACTTAATTTTAATAAAATTGCAAATTTTATATGAATTTTTTTTTTGAAACTTTTTTCTGAATTTTATTTTTTTGTTCCTATTCTTAAAGTTAGAAAATATATTTTAAAAATAAGAAAGAAAGAAAAAATAAAAAATAGAAGAAATAAAAAAATATCTAACTGTAAATGAAAAAAATTGCATTTATTTTATTTTTATGAAAATAATTATTCTTCAGTTAAGAATATAATTTTTTTTACAAAGAGGAAATTATAAATTTAAAAAATTCTAAACTGTTCTATTTTTGATATAATTACCTGTATGTAAAAAAATTAATTCTAAATTAAATGAACGAAGAACAAGACCGCGTTTTGTGAAGAAGAAGAATAAGAGGAGGAAAAAAATTGAATAAAGTAAATTCAGTTAGACTCACAGAGAGATAAAACAGGCTTTATACCTTCATTAAAAACTTGTCTGGCCTTATACGTGTTTACTGTCTCATTAATCCAAAGAATAAAAGCTAAGACTACCGTTAAATTATATTTACTCCCCTCTATATATATAATATTGAAGTATAGAAGATCGATTAAATTATATTTTTTTTACACCTACGAAAAAAAAAATTGAGAAAAAAATCTCTTTTAAAGAATAATAACGATCATGACGATCGCATAGCGTGAGAGAGAATATATATTTTTATCGTATTAAACCTATATAATAAGTAACAGTTTTTTATTTATTTTTTCTTTTTAAAGAATTTTTATAAGTCATAAACGAGAAAAAATACAGATTTTACGTTTCAATAAAATAATTTTTATTCTTGAAATCATTGTTTTAAGTGAAGAATAATGAATCAATTTGATACTTCATTTTCAAATGAAATAAAAGTCTTATCTAACGTATCTTACAAATCATTTGGAAAAAAATTCTAATTAACAATAGGTCTCTTATCTCACTTGAAATTTGATTACGTAAAATACTGAATTTATTTATAAAGAATATTGTAAATTTCACATTCGTATATATAAATATATATAATTTAAAAAATAAATAAAATTTTATTGTTTAAAGAATATTTATTCTTTAAATGCTGAGTATAATTTATTACTCAGCGATACAAATATCTGCTATATAGAGAAATGGGAATTCCTTATAATCAAGTTGCTAAAACATATTTATAAATCTTTTTATAAAACATAAATTATTATTACATAACTCACCTGCTACAATTACGTTGAAGATGAATTCAAAAAGTTAGGCAACAATTTCTGGTATATCAGATTCTTCATAATATATATAGATGCATATAATGTAACATGGAAAATGCTAATTACTTCAAATTGCAGGGCAATTAAAATCATGAGATTAGAATGGCAAAAGAAGATAAAATATGGGACTATTTTAATCGTTAAAATTAGAAAGGAAAATCCTTTCAATCTTTTTTAATTTATTAATTTTTCTATTATATAGATAACGTTAATCGCAATAGATTTAAAATTATTTATTGTATTTAAAAAAAAAAAAATATGTTTGTTAAAAAAATAGTCGAGAAATTCTTTAGTTTGAAATTTAGATTAACAAAAAAATTGATATTTGAATTTTTAAATAATTATGAACACCTGTTATATTAGAAAATATTATTTTATCTATATGTATATAGGTATTTATTAAGACATGTATGCAAATACACGCATACATATGAAAATTTATGTTCTTGAACAAGATAACTTTTACTGCACAGCAAAATCAGAATTTTACTATTTTTCCATTTGAAATTTATTATATCGAGTTAATTTTTTTCTCTTCTTTTGTAAAAAAAAAAAAAAATTTTATTAAATCATCAGCAAATTTAAAATTGTAAACAGTAAAGAGATATTTATTTTAAAAAAAAAAACTAGGAATGTTGATTTCATTAAGCTCATAATATTAATTATTTTGTATGTTCTTCCGCACTAATGACACAAAAATCAATTAAAGTAATTAATTTCATGTCGTTAATTACTGTAAATAAGATAGTCTCTGCTTTTATCACATTTGTAATTTATTATATTTTTTTTCATTTATTAAATTTATTCGTCAGCTTTATTTATTTTTTAAAATTATTTTTTTTACTATTTTTTAAAATTATTTTTTTTACTTTTTTTTATAATTATTTCTTTATTTATTAAATTTTTCTTTATTTATTTTTTTTTTATTTTATATATTTTGTTAATTATTTATTTGCCTTAACTAAAATTATTATTTGTTTACAGTGGGTATATGAATAAAAAAAAAATTGAAGGAATTTTAAATAAAAAAGTATAAAAGTTAAAATTTTTTTTTTTTTGAACAATATGAGAATCAGGATATCCGCAGAGAGTTTAGTTCAAAATGGAAGGAGTGGTGTGTGCATGAAAGTGAAGTGTTCCCTACTCATTTAAAAACAGTCTGCTGGCCTTACCAAAGTGAAAGTCTTCTTCCATATATACATATATATATATATTTATTTATTCAATTCTTTGCTTTGGAGCCCCGTTCATCTTCTAAATTTTCTGTTTCGAACCAAAGAGACATATTCCCGGAAATAAATTCCCTGCGTACCTTTTTCAAAACATATATTATGAGATCTTTGACATCATAGAAATTACATATACACAAATATTATTTCGTAATAAGGGTCCACTTTAATATTCTATTTCCCCCTTTTCAAAAAATATCGTATTATAATGATGACAAGAAAGTGACCCACATTTCACTTTTTGGAAAAAAAAGAATCCATTGGAATAATTTTCCATAAATTATAAATATATATATCTTTTCATTTTTTATATTTTCAACTTGTATTTCTTTTGAAATGTCTTTAAATTTTTCTTTTTTAGTGTCTTAAAATATTGTTTCAATTGTTTTAGTGTTTTAATTTAAGATACTGTTTTAGTGTTAATAAGTTACTAAAAAATTTTTTTTTAATATGCTTTAGTGACAACTTTGTGTTTTCGACTGTTCCACAAAAAAGGTGGAAAACCTTTTTTAGTTTCTTTAATTAATGTCACAGTGAGAAAAAATTTTTAATTCAAATAATTGCTTAGCTAATATCACATAAATATTTATTTGTATTAAACAATTATTATTGAGGTATATTTGTTTTAAATACAGAAATTATTGGTTCAAATATTTAATTCCAATAAAAATTATTTGGTTTCAATACAAAAAATTATAAGGTATTAAAATAAGCTGCAACGCTTATTATTTTAATCTAATTTTGCTTATTTTAATACCAAAATGGATTAAAATAAGCAAAATTGGATTAAAATAATAACCGTTGCAGCTTATTTTAATGCCTTTTAATTTTCTGTGAAATAAATATTTAATGCGAATAAAAATTATTTGGTGCAATTAAATATTTATTTGATTAATAATTATGTAACCGAGTTTGTGAATCAAATTCTTTTTTCATTACGTTAAAAGTGTCTTAAATTATATTTTTAGATATCTAAAACACTATTTTGGTATAATTAATGTTTATGATAGTTTTAAACATATTATGCAACATACAATGCCAAATACACTTAGAACAGTGTCTTAACTTGAGATATTTTTATTGTCTCAGGCACAAAATTTACTTAAACCAAATGTTACAAATGATGCTTCTTATTTTTACATTTTAACATAAAAGTGTCTTAGAATATTTTAGAATATTTTAGTACGTTTTAAAATGTTTTAAAGTGTCTTAAAATGTTTAAAAAAAATTTTAAATAGTTTAAAATGTTTTAAAATATCTTAGTGTCTTAAAAAATTTTTAAATGGTTTAAAATGTTTTAAAATATCTTAAAGTGTCTTAAAATGTTTTAAAATGGTTTAAAATGTTTTAAAATGACTTAAAATTATGTTTTCAGTGTTTTGAAATTTTTAGACACTAAAATTGTTTCTTAATGAAAAAATAGACAATTTCAGAATCAATTTTAGAAACTGATAGATTAAACTGCGGTTTTCAGTGAATATATATAAACGAGACTCGTGTTTCTACTTAACAAATGAAGAATATTGGAAGTTTGATAAATTACTTTTATGCGGTTTTTCATAAATTTTTTTTTTTTTTTTTTTGAGGCAGGTACTCGAGTTCCTTTGATTACGAAAAAAGAGTAGAATTTCACTGTATATAAGAAGAACGTTATTTTATTAATCTTTATCCCCTTCGCTTATCAAATTTCTCGCGACCACTGACAGAAATCGGCTCTCGTTCATTATTCACTTTCAGATCCTGTTTAGTGCAGAAAATATTCCCTCTATAGTTTTACAGTTTATAGTTTCAAATATATATATATATATATATATATATAAAATATAAAATCGTGCGCTTAATGTATAGGTATACATCATGCCTTTGGCTTAGTCATTCTTGGAATAAAGTTCTTCTCATCAAATATACTTATAGTTAATATATCTATATAAACTTGGAAAATAACAACAACAAAAAAAATCACTAACTTGCAACATCTTCCCACGATGCACACAGTCAAAAATTATCGTACACACGTTAAGTAATCTTCAATCTTCATACTTTCTTCCCAAGGAAAGC